TAGCTTTAGCTTAGCTTTAGCTTAGCTTTAGCTTAGCTTAGCTTTTAGCTTAGTTAGCTTAGCTTTAGCTTTAGCTTAGCTTTAGCTTAGCTTAGCTTTAGCTTAGCTTTAGCTAGCTTTAGCTTAGCTTTAGTTTAGCTTAGCTTTAGCTTAGCTTCAGCTTAGCTTAGTTTTAGCTTAGCTTTAGCTTAGCTTTAGCTTAGCTTTAGCTTTAGCTTTAGCTTTAGCTTTAGCTTAGCTTCAGCTTAGCTTTAGCTTAGCTTAGCTTAGCTTAGCTTAGCTTTAGCTTAGCTTCAGCTTAGCTTTAGCTTAGCTTTAGCTTTAGCTTAGCTTTAGCTTAGCTTTAGCTTAGCTTTAGCTTAGCTTCAGCTTAGCTTTAGCTTAGCTTTAGCTTAGTGTTAGCTTAGCCTTAGCTTAGCTTAAGCTTAGCTTAAGCTTAGCTTAAGCTTAGCTTTAGCTTAGCTTCAGCTTAGTGTTAGCTTAGCTTTAGCTTAGCTTTAGCTTAGCTTCAGCTTAGTGTTAGCTCAGCTTTAGGTTAATGTTAGCTTAGGTTTAGATTAGCTTTAGCTTAGCTCTATCTTAGTGTTAGCTTAGCTTTAGCTTGGCTTTAGCTTAGCTTTAGTTTAGCTTTAGCTTAGCTCTATCTTAGCCTTAGCTTAGCTTTAGCTTAGCTTTAGCTTAGCTTTAGCTTAGCTTCAGCTTAGTGTTAGCTTAGCTTTATGTTAGTGTTAGCTTAGCTTTAGCTTAGCCTTAGCTCAGCTTTAGCTTAGCTTTCGCTTAGCTGCAGCTTAGCTTTAGCTTAGCTTTAGCTTAGCTTTAGCTTAGCTTAGCTTAGCTTTAGCTTAGCTTTAGTTTAGCTTTAGCTTTAACTTTAGCTTTAACTTTAGCTTTAGCTTAGCTTTAGCTTAGCTTTAGCTTAGCTTCAGCTTAGCTTTAGCTTAGCTTTAGCTCAGCTTTAGCTTAGTGTTAGCTTAGCCTTAGCTCAGCTTTAGCTTAGCTTTAGCTTAGCTTCAGCTTAGCTTTAGCTTAGCTTTTGCTTAGCTTTAGCTTAGCTTTAGCTTAGCTTTACTGTTACTACTAATGCTGCTTTCCTAGGGGCTCCAACTCCTAGGTAGGGTCGCACTGGGATAATTGCTTAAAGGGGCCGGGCAGTGCTACACGCCCCGGGCGGTTCCCCCAGTCCCTGCCCCGCGGTTCCCCCAGTCCCCTGGGTGCTTTAGCCTTAGCTTTAGCTTTAGCTTAGCTTTAGCTTTAGCTTTAGCTCAGCTTTAGCTTAGCTTTAGCTTAGCTTTAGCTTAGCTTTAGCTTAGCTTTAGCTTAGCTTCAGCTTAGTGTTAGCTTAGCTTTAGCTTAGCTTTAGCTTAGCTTCAGCTTAGTGTTAGCTTAGTGTTAGCTGAGCTTTAGCTTAGCTTCAGCTTAGCTTTAGCTTAGCTTCAGCTTAGCCTTAGCCTAGCTTTAGCTTAACTTTAGCTTAGCTTTAGCTTAGCTATTTAGCTTAGCTTTTAGCTTAGCTTTAGCTTTAGCTTTAGCTTAGCTTTAGCTTAGCTTAGCTTAGCTTTAGCTTAGCTTCAGCTTAGCTTTAGCTTAGCTTAGCTTAGCTTCAGCTTAGCTTAGCTTTAGCTTAGCTTTAGCTTAGCTTTAGCCTAGCTTAGCTTAGCTTTAGCTTAGCTTTAGCTTAGCTTTAGCTTAGCTTCAGCTTAGCTTTAGCTTAGCTTTAGCTTAGCTTTAGCTTAGCTTTAGCTTAGCTTTAGCTTAGCTTAGCTTCAGCTTAGTGTTAGCTTAGCTTTAGCTTTAGCTTAGCTTTAGCTTATTCAGCTTAGTGTTAGCTTAGCTTTAGCTTAGTGTTAGCTTAGTGTTAGCTGAGCTTTAGCTTAACTTCAGCTTAGCTTTAGCTTAGCTTCAGCTTAGCTTTAGCTCAGCTTTAGCTGAGCTTTAGCTTGGCTTTAGCTCAGCTTTAGCTTAGCTTTAGCTTAGCTTGAGCTTAGCTTTATCTTAGCTTCAGCTTAGCTTCAGCTTAACTTTAGCTTAGCTTCAGCTTAGCTTTAGCTTAGCCTTAGCTTAGCTTTAGCTCAGCTTTCGCTTAGCTTCAGCTTAGCTTTAGCTTAGCTTTAGCTTAGCTTTAGCTTAGCTTTAGCTTAGCTTTAGCTTAGCTTTAGCTTAGCTTTAGCTTAGCTTTAGCTTAGATTTAGCTTAGCTTGAGCTTTAGCTTTAGCTTGGCTTTAGCTTAGCTTTAGCTTAGCTTTAGCTTAGCTTTAGCTTAGCTTCAGCTTAGCTTTAGCTCAGCTTTAGCTTAGTGTTAGCTTAGCCTTAGCTTAGCTTTAGCTTAGCTTTAGCTTAGCCTCAGCTTAGCTTTAGCTTAGCTTTAGCTTAGCTTCTGCTTAGCTTTAGCTTAGCTTTAGCTTAGCTTTACTGTTACTACTAATGCTGCTTTCCTGGAGGCTCCAACTCCCAGGTAGGGTCGCACTGGGATATTTTTTTGCGATGTAGCCCTTTTTTTCCAACCTCGGATCTCAGGGTAGGCGCCTCCCGGCGCCAGGAGGCGCTGGGGGAGGCGCTGGGAAAGCCAATTGCGTGAGCTGATTCTCTACCCTGCCCTCTGCTGTCCCCCTCTTTCGTCCCCCCCACGTGGCGCCGAACCATTTTGGACCTGGCTGGGGGGCCGAGGTTTTGGCTGAAAGATTGTTGGGCGTTTTGTTAGGGCTGGAATTGTTTCCAGAATTTTTGGCTTAGAGACGTTGTGCAGGTTTTTCCCTACCTAGGCTCTGCCTAGAAGGGTTCTTACTCTCTTAGCTTAAAGGGGCCGGGCAGTGCAAAGCGCCCCGGGCGGTTCCCTCAGTCCCCGCCCCGCGGTTCCCCCCAGTCCCCTGGGAGCTTTAGCTTTAGCTTTAGCTTTAGCTTTAGCTTTAACTTAGCTTTAGCTTAGCTTTAGCTTAGCTGTAGCGTAGCTTTAGCTTAGCGTTTCGCTTAGCTTTTCGCTTAGCGTTTAGCTTAGATTTAGCTTAGCTTTAGCTTAGCTTTAGCTTAGCTTGAGCTTAGCTGTAGCTTAGCTGTAGCTTAGCTTTAGCTTAGCGTTTAGCTTAGCTTTTCGCTTAGCGTTTAGCTTAGCTTTAGCTTAACTTTAGCTTAACTTTAGCTTAGCTGTGGCTTAGCTGTAGCTTAGCTTTAGCTTAGCTTTAGCTTAGCTTTAGCTTAGCGTTACTGTTGCTACTAATGCTGCTTTCCTAGGGGTTCCAACTCCTAGGCAGGGTCGCACTGGGATCATTTTTGGGGAGCTTGGGTCTCCTGTTGGAGATTTTCCGAAGATCCTGGCCGAGTTTCTCGGTGGACCCCCCGTAGTAGAAGTGCCAGCCAGCAGCACAGCTCCAGCCAGCAGAGGCGGCCCAAAACGGTATGGCCCCAGCCAGCAGAGGGGGGGCAGAACGGGGCGCCCTGTGCCGCCCCGGCGGAGCGCGGCTCTCTGGACTTGCCGGCTTGCTTCGGCTTCTCGGGAGGGGTCCAGGGGCAGGTTTTGAGCCCAGAGATCCAGCGCATTGAAAAAATGAAGGCGGGAGGTTCCTCGCAAATTCCGGCCCCTAGGGGCCCTTACCCGGCCTCGGCACCGTCAAAAAACGATTCAGGATGAAAATCCGGTGCTGGGGAATGGGTCGAGACTTCCGGGGACCGCGTATTGAAAAAATCACGACATCGGATTTTTGGGAGTGGGTCTGCCTTCGCTCGGCCCCCCCCCCTCTCCCCTTGACCAGTTGCGAAGGCCCTGTGGCCGGTGCCGCCGACCCTGAAGGGACACGCCGACAGCGGCGGCGGCGGCGACGACGACGCGGACGTGGGTCAGAATCCTCATGGATGTTTCTCGGGGGGAACCTCTTCGGGGCCTCTCGGGGCCTCCTGGGGGCCTCTTGGGGCCTCCTTGGGGCCTCTTGGGGACCCCTTGGTCCCTCCCGGGAGCCTCTCGGGGCCAAGGGCTGGAAATGTGCGTTCTGGTCTCTCGTCTGGGCACCCTCTTGGAGCCCTCTTGGGGGCCTCTTGGGCCGTCTTGGAGCGTCGGGAAGCGGAAGAGGCGAGAACGCCGACATGCTAGGAAAACCAATGGGATTTTGCCTCTTGGGGTCCTCTTGGGAGCTCTTGGAGGCCTCTTGGGGCGTCTTGCAGGGCCCTTTGGCCATCTGCAGGCCGTGGGGGCGTCTTGGACAGATCGTTCGGCGATTCGGGGCCCTCTTGGACTGTCTTAGGGGCCTCTTGGGCCACTGTTGGCCGGTCTTGCGACTTTTCGGGGCCCTGGGGCCCCCCGGGGGAGAGTCGCATCTGACCCGGGACCCCCCCTGGGGACTCTCCCGGGACCCTCCCGGGACGCCCCCCCCCCCCCCTCCTGGCGGGGGAGGAGGGATCAAAGGGAAGAGGCTTCCCTTCGAGTCAATTACGACGTTGCTCAGTTTCGCTTTGGCTGGCGCGCTTGAGGAGGAGGGCCTAGGGAAGGGCGGGGGAGCGGCGACGGGCCCAGCGCTTGAGGAGGAAGGCCCAGGGAAAGGGGGGGAGCGGCGACGGGCCCAGGCTCAGGTGAAGGGAGAGCGCAGGGAAAGGGGACGACAGAGGCGGCGACTAACGAATGACTGACACGACGACTCGAACGGACAAGCCCCTCACGCACGCCGCCGATAGGGTCGGCGGAGTATCTCGGGGCCCATGCAGCGCACCCCCCCCCTCCTCCTCCTCCTCCTCCTCCTCCTCCTCCTCCTCCTCCTCCTCCTCCTCCTCCTCCTCCTCCTCCTCCTCCTCCTCCCTCCCTCCTCCTCCCTCCTCCTCCTCCTCCTCCTCCTCCTCCTCCTCCTCCTCCTCCTCCTCCTCCTCCTATTCTGAAGCCCGACGAGGGTTGCCGCTTTGGGGCCTCTTTCGGGCATTGCAGCGTTGCCCGCATCGGGAAGGGTTGGGTCCGCTGGGTCGCTGGCCAACGTGCCCCTCGGCGGAGTCCCCTGGCAGGGGGGCGCTGATCAGTGGGGGGCCAGGTACCAGATCCTCACCGTCAGCTTCGACGATCCTTCTGAGCGCATATTCTCCGGGTCATGCGCTGGCTGGGGGGGGGGCTTGCACATTGCCGAGGCGGTCGCCGTGGAGGGAGAGAGAGAGAGAGAGAGAGAGGGGGTCCTGGAGGAGAGGGGTCCTGGAGTTTCTGCCGCCGTGTTTGGGCTCCTGAGGCCCTCCCTGGCCACCGGGACGATCGGAAACGACCTCGCGATGGAAAGCTGGGCCCAGGGGCCCCTCCCTCGTGCCAAGGAGGGGCGGGGGGAGTAGAAGTGGCGGCGGGAGGAGAGGCGGGAGGAGCGGAACGAGGGCAGAGGCGAGGGTGGCCGAAGGAGTATCGCGAGAGGAGGGGCCGCGCAGGAAGGGCAGGACACGGGCGCAGTGGTGGAGGGGGTCAGGAGAAGGGGGTCGGGGAGGGGCATGCGATGGAAGGGATATGAAGCTTGGAGTGGGCGAGCAGAAATTGCAATTGCAGGAGTGACGGCAAGAAGGCGGAGGGGAACGTCTGGGAGCGGAGTGGGGTCGGGGAATGGGCCTAGAAGGACGGCAATGGCTAATGATAATACGCTCGGGCAGGGGGGGGAGGGGGGGACGTCTTCGTGTTGGCGCGCCGCTAAGTGGCGGGCCAGTTTCGAGAAGCAACGTCTGAGGCATGCGACATACATCGAAATGTAGTCCAGTTTCCCAATTCTTCAAGCATGTACACTGCGTAATCGGTATTTCTGTTGTTTAGAGGCATCCAGCGGCCACAGTTCAGCCACGACAGACTCAGTAGCATGCCAAACTTCTGCAGTTGTCCCAAACACCAGCGAGCATCGCGCCCCTGACACTAGTAACTGTTGACGGGGAGGAGGAGGACGGGGAGGAGGATAAGGAGGAGGAGGAGGAGGAGGAGGAGGAGGAGGAGGAGGAGGAGGATTCTGCGGATTCTGCGGGCCAAAACGGATCACGACTCCCTGCGGTTTCGTGCCGTGGGCCGCCTGGCCGCGGCGGGCCGTCCCCGCGCCAATCAGACAGCCTGGGGGCAGCAGATTTCTCCACTCCCTTCGCCTTCTCGCACAAGCCCCCACTTCAGCGTTGTAGCTAAACTGAACTCGCTCGAGACTAAATTTTTCTCCAGCCTCGCCGCCCGCTTCTCGCGAGTCGCTGGCCCAGAGCTCGCACGCCGTGGCAGCACGCTACCACTGCCTGCTTCTCGCACGCACGCTTGGGCAACCCCGCTGCCACTGCCTGCTTGCTTTCCCCTTCTCGCACGAGTGGGTTTCCTCCACTCCTGCTCTCGCACAACGGGCTGATCTCTGCACTGTAACTGAGGGTAGCTCGTCCGTGCCCTGCCCTTTCGCGCCAGAGCCCGTTCGCTGGCCCCTGCACTTCTCGCACGCGCTGCTTCTAGCGAGTGTAGCTAGATAGAGTCGGGCTCCAACTTTGCCTCCCGCTTCTCCCAGCACACTGTGGTGGCTAGGAAGGTGACTTTTGGCTCCAGCTTTGCCTCCCTCTTTTCGCAGCGGCTTGCCCAGATCCCAACGCTGTAGCTGACGACGTCGGGCTCTGCCTTCGCCCCCCACTTCTCGCAGGATGGCGCTCTTCTCGCACCCACTGTTCCCAGAGGTGTTAGCTAGATGGCGTGTGGCTCCAGCTTTGCTTCCCTCTTCTCGCAGCGGCTTACCCAGATCCCAACGCTGTAGCTGTCGACGTCGGGCTCTGCCTTCGCCTCCCACTTCTCGCAGGATGGCGCTATTCTCGCACACGCTGTTCCCAGAGGTGTTAGCTAGATGACGTTTGGCTCCAGCTTTGCCTCTCTCTTCTCGCAGCGGCTGGCCCCGAATCCATCGCTGTAGCTGTCGACATCGGGCTCTGCCTTCGCCTCCCACGTCTCGCAGGATGGCGCCCCCCTGCGCCGCGGCAGAACATTGCTCGCTGTTCTCTCGCGCGCTGTTCCCAGAGGCGTTAGCTAGAAGAGACACTCGGGCTCCAGCTTCGCCCCCCGCTTCTCGCAGGCCCTCCTTTTCGCACGGACGACTCCCAGCGTTGCAGCTGATCGTGGCCCACCCGCGCACTTTGCACAGCGCCAGCGTCCGCTGCCACTGCGCGCTCCCTTTCTCGCACGGATTGCTCCCAGCGTTGTAGCTGATCGTGGCCCACCCGCGCCTTCGTCCCTCTCGCAGCGCCAGCTCTGGCTGCCACTGCTTGCTTTCTCGCAGCCTTCCAGGGGGAGGATGAGGGCCAAGGCCATCGGGCTCTAACTTCACCTCCCCCTTCTCACACGGACGACTCCCAGCGTTGCAGCTGATCGTGGCACACCCGCGCACTTTGCACAGCGCCAGCGTCCGCTGCCACTGCGCGCTCCCTTTCTCGCACGGATTGCTCCCAGCGTTGTAGCTGATCGTGGCCCACCCGCGCCTTCGTCCCTCTCGCAGCGCCAGCTCTGGCTGCCACTGCTTGCTTTCTCGCAGCGTCAGCTCTGCCAGCCACTGCTGGTCTTCACTCACGGCCTGATCCCTACGCTGTAGCTGATCACGACTCTGTTGTCCCCGCACTCTGCCCGCGGCGCCGCATTGGCTGGCGTCCCGGTCTGCCAGGAGGTGGAGGAGGGTGGAAACGAAGAGGAGGAGGGGGCGGGAGGGGGCGGGCATCCTGGCAGCTGCGCGTTCGCCTGATCTCAGCGTTGTAGCTGATGACGTGGGGCTCCGCGCTGCTTCTTCATGACTCGGGCGCGCAGCGCCACTTCGAAGTTTGTGCGCCGCATCGTCCAAGGGGCCCGGTGCAGGGGGGGGCCGCTCGGACGCGAAATGGCTGAGGAGGAGGAGGAGGAGGAGGAGGAGGAGGAGGAGGAGCGGGATGAGGTGGAGGAGGAGGAGGAGGAGGAGGAGGAGGAGGAGGAGGAGGAGGAGGCGGAGGAGGCGGAGGAGTAAAGAGGAGAGAGTACGGTGGTATGAGGTGAGAATTTTTGGGGATGATGAGGATGAGGATGAGGATGACGATGAGTATGAGGAGAAGGATGATATGGAGGAGGGGGAGGGAGGAGGAGGAGGAGTAAGACGAGGACGAGGAAGGACGAGGAGGAGAAGGAGGAGGAGGAGGAAGAGGAAAAGCAAGGGGAAGCGCAGGACGCGAATGAGACTGATGTGTTTGAATCTGGGACACTAGGTTACTTTGCAACCGCTGGCGCCTGTCCCAATAACCAAAACCATCGTCAAGTGGTGCTGTGGGGTCGCGGGACTCGGCTCGTCTAGCTCGCGCGCTCCCGCTCCTCGTGCGTTTTGCTGGATCCGGCAAGCGCGCTGACGCCCGCTGTTTCAAGGGCCGGGGTCTGGCGCCGGATTTTTTTTCGGTGTCCAGAGGTGTTCGGAGACTCTACCGCCTCGCCGGCAGGACATCCCTTTGCACCAAGGTTTCGCGACATTTTCAGTGACCCGCCAAGGGACAGACCCGCTCAGGCAAGGCATGGTGTGCCACATCACAAGAATGGTAGACCCCGAGCCTCTGCCCTTGCCATCTCTTGCAGGAATAGTTCGTGCAGCGGGGATGACGCTGGGTTTCCGTCCCGCATGTGCCCGTGCTTTGCGCAACACTTTTGGCGGAGCCTCGCCCCTTGAATTGATATTCTTTCCGCCGAAATCTCACGCCGTTCTTTCAGTTTGCGGCTGTGGGAACACATTCCCTGCGCAATGGCAGTGCTGACAGGTACAAGACAGTGTTGCTGTTTGCCGGGGTAGTAGTGCAGGCTCATGGCGGCTGGTCAGCCCTGGAAGCCATGCGAACCCTGTCGCCCGTGCCTCAGATTTAGAACGATGCGATCGGCTGTTGCGCGCCGTGTGTACAGCGTCGAGTGACGTGGCGCTCCCGGCCATGAATCAATGCCAGACGCACGTTTCAAACAATGCCTTATGGATGCGCCTCGCTGGGATCTTATTGAAACTCGTCTCCTTGGGGTTGCGCCTGGCCGGTGCTTCTGGCGACCGTTCCTGGGTCACCGTGCGCCAGGCCCGGCTGGCCAGCAGTTCCACGAGGCACCGGATAAGAGGCAGATGTTGCCAGACACTGGAGATGCCACCTCGGACCTCGAGGCAGAGCAGTTCCTTCCCGACCCCACCCCCCAGTCATAGCGCAGCGGGCAAACATCTGGCGTCCTTAGGGGGCTACGCGCTCGGGAAAGGGGCTTCTGCGGGGTCGCGGGGCTCGGCTCGTGCAGCTCGATCGCTCCTCGTGCGTTTTGCTGGATTCGGCTCGCGCGCAGGAGCCCTGTTCCAGTGGTCGGGGTCCAGCGTTCCCGCCCCCCTTTCCCGTGCCTGCTGCGGTCCGCTTCCGTTCGGCGGGGTTGCGGTTGGCCAGTGTTCCTGGCGACCGTTCTTGGGTCACCGCGGAGTTGGCCAGGCCAGCCCGCAGTTAGGCGCCCCGCAAGGGGCGTATGTTGCCAGACAGTGTAGATGCCGCCTTGAACCTCGAGGCAAAACAGTTCCTTCCCGATCCCATCCCCCATTCACGGCGCAGCGAGCAAACAGAAAAGAAGGATACCCAAAACGCAACGCGCGCGGATGGGTCAGGTTCAGCCACGTCGCTCCCGGACTCACGTCTTGGGTCCCGGTTCACCGCGCCAGCCACCGCGCCAGCCGCCAGACCCAGATGGCAGGGCTGCAAGAGTACGTGTTCATCACGTCGCGAATTCGGTTGTTCGATGTCATCTCACTGGCGCCTTGTCGGGGCGGGGGGACATCCAATGCTGCCGCAGGGCCATGCAAACCATGGCTCTAATTTCAGGAGACCCCACCGTCGGGGCCCTGAACCTGACTGCGGGGATCAGGAGGTGGTGGGGTGACCGAGTCAATGGTTGGGCTAGCCGCGGGCGTTTTAGTTTCAAGACCCGGTGGGCAACGTCATCACCATGGAGTGCTGCGGCATTCACCAGGACTCGGTGAAGGTTCTATACGGTTGCGGCAGTGTGCAGGCGCCAGGAATCACTTAGTGCCGTGCGTGGCAGCCTTGACATTCGTCAGGCGCATGCATCACCAAAGGGGTGAAGATTGGCTGCGCCACTCTTCCCTTCACTCGCGGTAGCCGACAGCGAAAATATCAGATGGCAGCTCCAGATCCCCTCGGTGATTACAACCAATGAGCGCCAACCTCCACCCAGGCACAGCCTATTGGGACAGACGGGAAGGCAGCAACCTGAAAGGGGTCGGACCAAATGTCAATCACCCAGACGTCACCCAGACTTCACTTACGAGATTAACGTCTAGTCGGCAAAGACAAAACCCAAGACCACGCATGGTTGAATCTCTGGGAGTTGGGCCGACAGCGAGGAGGATGACGCCCTGAATGACAACGAATACGTAGATCACGACGCGCGGGCGAGCACGTACACCAGGAAACGCAATCGCGAGGAGGAGTTCGCCCGCATTGAGGCGGGCGAGGCCCAGGGTGAAAGGGAAACGGCCGAAATCGACATCCGTCAGGCCCAGGCGGCGATGACTGACACCGGAACTTTGATAATTTATCGATTTCTTTTCTCACCAAATTCTGTGGCTTGATGAATTCAGGCCGTTCCAAGTGAATGCTTATCGAAGACGCCTACGGCGAATCACCGCCGCCCCCTGCCTTTGTGGAAGCGCCTATGTGGCCGAACGTTGAGGCCAGACCTGCCAAGCCATCGGACCATGTGTTCCCCGAATCGGTTTGGAAAGCCTTCGGGGAATACGTGGGCGTCTTGATGGTCATCGTCGTCGTCTTGGAGGCCTCTTGGGCGATCTTTCGGCGATCTTTGGGGGCTCTTGGGCCGTCTCGGGCCGTCGGAAGGCCGAAAGAAGGGAAATGCCCAAATCCATCAAAAACCTTGGGAAAATCAGTGATTTTGGCATCTTTTGGCCTTCCTGGAGGCCCTCTTGGGGGCCTCTTGGGCCCTTTTGGGCCAGCTTCGAGCCAACTTCGGCCATCTTGGTGGGTTCCTGGCACGTCTGACGCCGTCGGGAGCCGTTTGGGGGGCCTGTCTGGGCCAACGGGGGACCCTCTTGGGGCGCTCCAGGGCCGTCTTGGAGGCCATCTTGGGCGTCTTGGAGGCCATCTTGGGCGTGTTGGAGGCCTCTTGGGCCGTCTTGGGGCCCTCTAGGGGCCATCTTGGAGGCCACTTGGGCCATCAGGGGGCTCTCTTGGGGGCCTCTTGGGCGATCTTGGGGGCTTCTTGGGCCGTCTTGAGCCGTCGGAGAGCCGAAAAGGCGCAAATGCCAAAATCCTTCAAAAACCAAGGGAAAATCAATGATTTTGCCTCTTCGGACTCTCCTGGAGGACCTCTTGGAGGCCTCTTGGGCCGTCTGGGAGGCCTCTGGGGGGCCTCTTGGGCCGTCTTGGGCCGTCTTGGACTCTCTTGGGCCGTTTTGGAGGCCGTCTTGGACCATCTCGGGCGGACTTGGAGGCCATCTTGGGCCATCTTCGCGATTTTTTGAGGATGTCCCGAGCGAAACGGCCGTTTTTGCGCACGGTGGCGGGTTCTGCCGGAGCCCACTGGGGAGTTCTTTTGGAAAAAGAACCAAAACCAAAACCTAACAGCTCATCCAGCACGCCGTGCACCCCTGCAAGCAGGGGGCGGCGGATTTCGTGACCTTCGGCTCATCCCGCCACCGCGCCTGGCTTGTGGGTTTGGTGCTTAGTGGATGGTCGTTGTGATCTCGTGGTGGGCCTCTTGGGAACCTCTTGGAGGCAGCTTTGGGTCCTTATGTGGGCCTCTCGTGGTTTCTTCTGGGCGTCTTGGGGGCCCCTCGGGGCCTCTTGGGGGCCTGTTGGGTGCCTCTCGGGGCTTCTGGGGCGCCTTGGGGGGCCTCCCGGGGGCCTCCTGGGGCGGAAGGTTCGGATTTTCGATTCGTGTTTCTTCTCTGGGGCCCGTCTTGGGGCCGTCTTGTGGCCCTCTTTGGCCGTCTTGGGCGCCTCTTGGGCTGTCTTGGGGCCCTTTTGGGCCGGTTTGGGGCCCTAGTGGATGCCTTTTGGGCCGTCTTGGGGCGGTTTTGGGGGGTTCGGGGCATTCTTGTGGCGTCCCGATGCCAAGAACGCGAATGCGCAACAATCTTTCGAAAACCTTAGTGCAATCGACGATGTGTAATTTTCGGGGCCCTCTTGGGAGGCCTCTTGGAGGCCTCTTGGGGCGCCTTGAAGGCCTCTTGGGCCGTCTGGGGGACCACCTTGAGCGTCTTTGAGCGATCGTTCGGCGACTCGGGGTCCTTGTGGGCCGTTTTCGGGTCCTCGCGGGGCCCTCTTGGCCCGCCTCGGGTGCCTTGTGGGCCCGACAAGTTCATGCGGGAAGCCGCGGGACAGCCCAGGGGAATCGCGGCAAGCCCAGCCACATTTCGGGATTCGGGGTCCAGGCTCTTTAGAGACTCCTCAGGACTGAGGACTGAGGCTCTAGGTATTAGGCCAAGGACATGCGGGTGCGCCCACTCCGTGCCCATAGGCGCGGTGGCGGATGATAGGACAGCTGCTGAAAATAGAAATCGTGCGGAGACCGCGCCATACCGCTAGTCACTTTTCGCGTTGCCCCGTCATATAAGCTATGCAGATTGTTGAATTCAGCCTTTTGCGCTCTTGACCATCAGGCCGAGGGGGGTGGTTCAATGGAGGGCACCAAGTCATTGGGCAACTGCTGGCGTTTGGTTCAAGAACTATAACCGCCGTCAGGCGGTGTGTGCACCTTCAGCGCTGACCGCTTACTGCAAAACAGATCCCGGTTTTCGTCGTGGGGGAGGGTGTTCCGGGAAAAAGGACGACCGAGTTGACAGGTTTCCGTCGATTACGGCTCCTAAATCCAGAGGGCTCTAGCAGCAGGATGTTCGGCACCCAGGGGGCCTTCCACAATCAAGAGCAACCACAGGTGGTTCCAGGATCCAGAACCACCTGGAACGGATCCGTGCTGATGCGAATCAAGATGCCGGTGGTTTTTCGTCGTGGTACCTCAGGCTTCCTGGATTGAGTGAGTCATGCGAGCAAACCATGGTTCCGAACCCTGAGGCCAGGTCTGGATCTCTCGTGGAGGCTTCCGGATACCGAAGTCCCACCGCATTCGCCACCTGGGTGTGCCCCATCGATTTGCGACCCCGCGGGCAAGAGGTTGTCGACCAGCAGTTTCGGGAGGGGGGTACCGCAGGAGGCTTCCTTTCAGCCGGGCGTGTCCCTCTACAGGGGGAATATTCCAAAATAGTCAAAAAATAGTACGGGAACTAGATTTTGAGCGTTAAAAAACTATTTTGGGGTATTTTTGAGGTATTTTTGTTTTTCGTCCCAAATCCCCCTGTAGGGGGACAGGCCCGACTTAAGGCTTCCTGTGCGCAGCGAGCGCCGAAGGGGACTCGCAGGCCAGGGTCTCCATATATTCCAAGGAACCGCGCAGGCGCAGCGTCACGATCGAAGGCAGCATCCAGGCAGTATCGAACCGCATCGAGTGTCGAGGTATTATCGGCCGAGCACCGAGAAATAACCGAGCGACTGGGGCATTTGCGAAGCGTGCCGAGCACGCAATCCATGGGGTACCCAGGCGTAGTCGAAGGGCGCTGGGCGCGCTGTTGTCACAGGGTGCTCTGAACACGGGCTTCTCCGCCCCGTGCGCAGACTTGACGGCGACGGCGCTGCAATGATAGGGCGAGGGGTGAATTGGGGGGGATGGGGGAGGGACATTGCGAAGGCTCTCCTCCTCCTCCTCCTCCTCCTCCTCCTCCTCCGTCTCATCCTCCTCCTCCTCCTCCTCCCCCTCTCCTTCTCTCCTTCCCTCCATTCCTCCCCCTCGTCTCTCCCTCTCTTCTTCCCTCCATCACTCCCTCCCCTCCTCCTCCTCCTCCTCCTCCTCCTCCTCCTCCTCCTCTTCCTTTTTCCTCCTCCTCCTCCTATTCTTCCTTCTCCCCCTCGTCCTCCCCGGAAGACGAGGGGCTGGACGCCCGCCAGGTCCCTGGACAACACCGTGCTCATCTACGACATGCGCATGCGCGACAACGACCCGGAGGTGCTCGAAGGCCCGACTCTTCCGGGCTTTCGGCCCCTGCCCACGCTGGCCTGCCGTCTCCGCCCTCCCCGTGGAGCTCGTCGTCGTCGTCGTCGTCGTCGTCGCCGTCGCCGTCGCCGTCGCCGTCGCTGTCGCTGTCGTGGCCGTCGTCTTCCTATCCCGCCCAGGGCTGAGCCTCCTTTCGCCGGCGTGAGTTCCTTCAGCAAGGCGTCGCCCAGACTGCTGCAGTGCCGAGTCCGACCGCCCCCCCGACCTCTCTCCCTCACTCTCTTTCCCCAGATGCTCGGTTTGGAGGACCACCTTGGAGCCCACCTGCCAGATCTGTACGACTCCAGTTCGGTTCTAGTTCGACTCAAGTCGACGGACGTTCGACGCAGCAAAGACGCATGAGTGGAGAGAGTTGCTTCAGGAAGGTCTCCAGAACGAGCATTTTGAGCAATCCTCCCTCCCTCACCCCCTCCCCCACATCTGTCCCTCTCTCTCTTTCTCCCTCCCTTCCCCTCTTCCTCCTTCACTTCCGACGCAGACAGCGGAGCCTGCCCATCCCCTGTGGTACTGCTCAGCCTGTTGCTTGTCCTGACTGGCCGCGTGGACCCTCTCGGTCCTGCTTGCGGCGAGGATGGCACGTTTCGGGCCTTGCCTGTGCTTCTGCGTGGCTCTCAGCGCAGGCTGCCTCAGCGCAGGCTGGCCGCACTGGCCACCCCTGACGAAGGTCTTCGTGGAGTGGGTGTCCTCGCTCTTTCTCCCGCCCTGCGCGGCCGCCCTCTGGCCCCTTCCCTGAAGTCGGGCCTGTCCCTCTACAGGCGGAATGCCCCAAAATCGTCAAAACATAGCCTGGGGACTATTTTTCGCTCATTGTTGGGCATCTCTTGAGGATTGTTTTGCATTTTCTTAATTTTTCGTCCAAGAATCCCCCCGTAGGGGGACAGGCCCGACCTAACCCTTCCCCACCCACTCTTGCAGCCGGACAGTCAGTGCGCGCCCGAGCCCGGCCCAAGGGAGCGCGCGTGCGGACCGCCTCTGCCGCGCCGCGGCGACAGAAGAGAGGAAGATGCGGGGCTTTCTCTGTGCGTTTGGACCCCGTCACGGTGCACCACGGCCC